CTCTCCCTCTCCCTCTCTTTTGTAATGCAAAATATAAATAAAGAATTTTTTAAGAATATTTATTAATCGAATGAAATATGATTGTTTTAGAGCGAACGCATACTCAACAGCAGTGGTTTCAATATTTACCTCAAGAAAGAACTTTATCAACTTACCGATAGCATTAAAGCGCGCGGCGTGATTTACAGTTTGCTACACCTATCAAAAGTGCACAGATGCAGAGGTGTCATAACAATCTCATCGGGCAGCTTTGCATTTGTTCTCTCGCATTATACATATCGATATCAAATACCGGTGACGGTGGTGCTGCCGACAACAACGACAGACGAAAAGATTATGATGTGTAAAGCCTATCCATTATCACGAGTGTTTGTCAAGGGTAATAACTTACTAGAAGCTCATCGTGCCGCTTTAGATATTGCCATGAGTGAAGGCTTATTTTATCTTGACGGGTATTTTCCTTTAACAAAATCTTATAAAAAATTCGATTGTACGTATACATTGCGTACTGATGCGTGGTTAAACCGTCGTACACAAATGCCCGTATTGACGTAAAGATGTATTTAATATATATATAAAAACAGGTTAAAATGTTTTTATAAAATCGGTGAAATCCTCGTTATATTCAATTAAGTAAAAATATATGTTCTTTTCATTTAAAATATTTGTATTTAATTTTTATACTCAGATTAAGTCAGTGTACAATAGCTTCAATATGCACTACTAGTGCATCTAATCGAATTCGTTATTTGTATTAAGTGCAAATACCTTTTTGTTAAAAAATCATATCTTCATCAATATCATATACCTATTTTGTGTATGTTTTTAATTGTACCACTCGACAATTAGTTAATTTGAAGGACATTAATTAATAGTTTTCTTATCATATTTCATTATTGCCGCAAAGGATATACTCCTTTCGCTAATAATAAGTTTTTGAGTGAATTATTTAATATTACTTCGATAGGAACGATCATCCAAACATGATTATTGGTCAAGCCACTTTGGGCATAGAAATCATGAAGCAACAAAGTAATGTTGATGTGGTACTTTTGCCGACGACAATTGAAGGTTGCGGATTAACAACAGCTATTGCAATAGCTATAAAAGGGTGCAATTCAAAAATAACAGTTATTGTAAGCTAATAGCTCTTCTATATATATATAATTTATACATTTTTTGTTGTTTCACTAATTAGTTTATATTAAGAAAAAGATTGTATTCACTTAGATAAATTATTTGTATTATAATCTTAATTCTCTTAGGAAGTCCATGATACAGGATCTGATTTATTCCAAGAGGTGAAAAAACAAACGAATTCATCTAAAGAATTGAATATTCCTACGAAAGAGTATATGGCATGTCCTTTAAGAAACATCCCGCATTGCGTGATCGACAGGTTTATTTCGGTAACTCCAGAGTTGATTCATTCTGCATCCATACATCTACACAAGTCTGAAAGTTACTACGATTGTTATGGAGCAATTGCTTTAGCTGCAATTTTATCTGGTCAGCTTAACGATCTACAGGGAAAAAGGTGACTTTTTTTATAAATTCGATAATGTTTTCGAATTTCTTAATTTATTAATTCCGTAGCAACGCGTTTTATATGTTTTGTAATCGTAATGTATATGCACTATAAGCAATTTAAATTTCAATTATATAATGGCATTATGATTTTTTTTTCGCGCCAGGATAGTAATACCTTTATACGGTAGAATGGATTTGAGCGAAGAAGATCTTACAATAGATAGATGTATCTTTAGACAATTTCATCTCGAGCTGATTTCAGACGATCTAAGCCCCTTTAATTTTGAATAAATCTAACAGAAAGCTGAAATATAAGCAAAATTATGTATCAACCGTAAACAGAGGAAATCAAAAATATAGATTAAGTCACACAGCTTGAAAAAAATTCGATCAAAGTTACGAAAAAGACGACGTTTCTAAATTGGAGACTGAATAACGAAGTAATTTTATCAACAATCCCGTATCGGTATATCAGATATAATATTGAATGTAAAATTCAATGTAATCAGATACAATATTAAAAATTTTCAATTATATCACAATAATAATGAACGTCGTATGCCTCATTAAAAAAACAAAAATTTTTAAATCGGTATATATTTAAAAACTTTTTTCATGTGTATGAACATAACTTTTTGTATTACACAAATATTTATCAGTCTTGATGTTTAGCAAAATTGTAGTCAACTAAAGGCATAATTAGCAAACAAAAATTGAGAAGTACGTCATAGTGGATATAACGTACTTATCGACTTGATCATATCAACCGGTTTTTAAATATTGACTGTACCATTTAATTTCATATAATGTTGATATTACTTCAATCGTTTTAAAATTAGATTTGAAATGAAATATAATCCCGAGAAAAATTGTTAATATAAGGTATATTTCCTGTCGCTGAACTTTGGAACTGAAATATATATCTGAGAGTTATCGAAAACAAGAAAGATAATTCTAGTACAGTCTAATGTAGCATCAGAAAGTAGACCAATAATTATATATAATTATGTACAATTATATAAAAAATTGACACACTTTATGATGATGCACCTGATATCCGAAAAGTATCAGGTATCCGGTATTATTTGGCACTTTTTTACTATCCGCCTGGATATTCGGATATCATTATAGTAGCCGGGAATATCCGGTTAAAATTTTATATCATTAAAATGTGGTTATACAATTTTATATCATTAAATTGTTAATTATACAATTATATAAAATTATGTATAAAATATATCATATTATACAAAATATGTTATATATAAAACATTCTAACAATAAAGTATGTTCATATATATAACATTTTTTCCAGGATTAATTGATATATGTATGTTTCTCCAATTTGAACGAATAATATAACGAATAATATGTACGAACGAATAGTATAAAATGTATAACTAATAGGAAATATACGTATTGTATTCTCTTAGCATGTAGTATATAATAAAGAAATAAAATATTAGTACACGTAGGAAAATAAAATTTAATTAATTTTATTGAGCGTTCCTTCATCTCTTGAACAAAGAAACCAGCAATAGAAGTGTATATATGTAAGTTATACATACATGATGCGTTCTAAAGAAAAGTTATGAAATTGAAAAATATGTATGTGTCGATTATATTATATAAATCGGGCAATTTTTGCTTTTGCATCACTGTTGGCAATCAGGGATTAACACAAAAAATAATATGATTTATTACGACATATTTTTTCACTAATTAGAAAAAAAACCATTTACAATAAAGCTGATATTTATAATATTTTTCATATTTGCAAAAATATTTTTTGTCTTCATTCCTACGTCGAAGAATAATAAAAGTTATTTTTCGAATTTAAAGAAAAAAGGAGAGACAAAACATCTCTCAATAATTAAACAGATATTGTAAAATTTCATTAACATGTAATAAATTAAAATATGAAAATAAGATTAAAATTTGAAGATTTTAAAAATTAAGATTACCTAGATATGGAAGGTAAGGGAAAAAGGAATATAAATATTCATTATTTATCGAGTGGTTGGTTATCATTGGTTGGTTGCAAAGTTTATAAAGACAAAATACACATATATGTATTCTTTCTTTCTCCCCTTTTTTCCTTCCTTTTCTTCGTTTATTGTAGAAAAAGAAAACACAGCTTCAGAAAAGAACGAATGATACATATATTTATTATTGACGACAATTCTTTGCGAGAAGCGACTTGAATCGGAAGATAATTAAAATCGAGTTCGACATTACCCTTTAATTAATTACGCCGTTTGTCCGTAATTGTAAGTGATTCTCGTGCAATTTTTAAATTTTAAACATGTCCCCGTCGCCGAAGAAAAAAAAGCAGGAGAAAACAGCAATGCAATCGACGGAGATACCAATGCAATCGACGGAGACAACAGTGCAACCGACGGAAACAGCAATGCAATCGACGGAGACAGCAATGCAACCGATGGAAACAGGCGCAATGCAATCGATGGAGACAGCAATGCAACTGATGGAAACAGCAATGCAATCGATGGGAATACCAATGCAACCGATGAAAACAACAATACACTCGATGAAGAAATCAAATGCGTGGAGATTTTCTTATACTGTGGCCCGCACGTTGAACCGGCTAGGCTTTAATCTCACATGGGTATAATTTCAGATTTTGACATCCACTTAATTTGAAAGCTAAATATTCATCAAGTATATATTGCTACGCAGATTGTACATAATTATATTTTTATGCGTACCGTCTAAAACTTTTAGAGTGAATCTCATATTGACGAAATCTCATTTTCACGAAATCTAATTTTCATAGATTGAAAAATAAGCCATTCTTTTTCAAGAATGGATCAATTTTCACTCTTTAGAGTGAAATTCCATTCCAAAAATTTAGAGAATATGATACAATTTCTATATATATTTTGAAAATAATTGTATTAAAGTATATATAACTCTTTCTCCATTCGATTATTAATACATTACTAATGAATTATTTGCATTATCCGAAGTAATAATCGCAATACATCATATATTATATTGTGTACATTCAGTGAAATATGGAAAAGAAACGCAAGTTACTTTCAGTTTAATATTTTTTTGTAGAACGTAATTGAAAAGGGATGTAACAAATCAGGGCCCGGGAAAGAATATGAAATTTCATGTGTCACAATCCAACAGGCGGCGTCTTTTCTAAAGAAATATATTTTGGAAACACCTTGCTCTCAGGTAATAAATAATAATAAATAATATTATGAAGTTTAATTCTTAATAAATTTCAACACTTTTAATAAAATTAGTACAAATCGAAATAATCTGAGATATTTATAAATATTTCATTATGATATTGCTTTGAAAGTACAATTGCAAAAGTGTACAATCCCTATTTCTCAATCTCAAGAAAGTGTACAATCGGTATTTCTCAAAGTTTGTTAGTATTTCTTATACGCAAGTGTATACAAAAATAAGATCTATCAATTATAGTATCAAAAGTATAATTTCTCATTTTATATATTAAAGAGACTTAAAATACAATCATAACTATCAATCTCAAAATAAATAATATATTATAGATATTTGCTACAACGATAATATAACCGAAAAATTGCTATTTTTTACCTGCTTATAAAAAAGAAATGGACCTATATAACGCAGAAAAAACGTACTTTTATCGCTCTACAACCAGTTATTGTAACAAAATTTCAAAATTAATGTTAGAATATTTTAATGATTCAAAATATTTGAATTAATTTTCAGGAAAATTTTGTTTTTTGAGTTGCAATTCGTTATTATTGCAAATGAACGAATTACAATTTAAGAACTATTTTAAATAATGATGTTATCGCATATTATTATTGTACACATAAATTATAGAATAAAAAAATGTCAATTTGATCCCCACATTCCTTCCTCTTTCTCTGTATCTCCCTCTCTTCCTCTCTTTTGCAATGCAAACTATAAATAAAGAATGTTTTAGGAGTATTTATTAATCGAATGTAAAATGATTGTTTTAGAGCGAACGCTTACTCAACAGCAGTGGTTTCAATATTTACCTCAAGAAAGAACTTTATCAATTTACCGATAGTATTAAAGCACGCGGCGTGATTTACAGTTTGCTACACCTATCAGAAGTGCAGAGATGCAGAGGTGTCATAACAATCTCATCGGGCAGCTTTGCATTTATTCTTTGTTATTATGCAGATAAATATCGTATACCGGTGACGGTGGTGCTGCCGACAACAACGATAGACGAAAAGATTATGATGTGTCAATCGTATCCATTATCACGAGTACTTGTCAAGGGTAATAACTTTCTAGAAGCTCACCGCACGGCTTTAGATATCGCCATGAGGGAAGACTTATTTTATTTTGATGGGTATTCTTCTTTAACAAAATCTTATGAAAATTTGACTGGACGTATTCATTGCGTACTGATGCGTGGTGAAACCGTCGTACATAAATGCCCGTATTGACGTAAAGATGTGTTTAATATAAGTATAAAAACAGGTTAAAATGTTTTTATAAAATCGGCGAAATCCTTGTTATTCTATATTAAGTAAAAATATGTTCTTTATTATTTAAAATATTTGTATTTAATTTTTATACTCAGGTTAAGTCAGTGTACAATAGCTTCAATATGCACTACTAGTCGAATTCGTTATTTGTATTAAGTGCAAATACCTTTTTGTTAAAAAATCATATCTTCATCAATATCATATACCTATTTTGTGTATGTTTCTAATTGTATCATTCAAAAATTAATTAAATTTGAAGGACATTAATTAATAGTTTTCTTATCATATTTCATTATTGCCGCAAAGAATTTACTCCTTTCGCTAATAATAAGTTTTTGAGTGAATTATTTAATATTTCTTCGATAGGAACGATCATCCAAACATGATTATTGGTCAAGCCACTTTGGGCATAGAAATCATGAAGCAACAAAGTAATGTTGATGTGGTACTTTTGCCGACGACAATTGAAGGTTGCGGATTAACAACAGCTATTGCAATAGCTATTAAAGGGTGCAATTCAAAAATAACAGTTATTGTAAGTTAATAGCTCTTCTATATATATAATTTATACATTATTGTTTCACAAATTAGTTTATATTAAGAGAAACATTGTATTCACTTAGATAAATTATATGTATTATAATCTTAATTCTTTTAGGAAGTTCGTGGTACAAGTTCTGATTTATTCCATGCGGTGAAAAAACAAACGGATTCATCTAAAGAATTGAATATTCCTACGAAAGAGTATATAGCATGTCCTTTAAGAAACATGCCGCATTGCGTGATCGACAGGTTTATTTCGGTAACTCCAGAGTTGATTGATTCTGCATCCATACATCTACACAAGTCTGAAAGTTACTACGATTGTTATGGAGCAATTGCTTTGGCTGCAATTTTATCTGGTCAGCTTAACGATCTACAGGGAAAAAGGTGACTTATTTTACAAATTCGATAATGTTTTCGAATTTCTTAATTTATTAATTCCGTAGCAACGCGTTTTATATGTTTTGTAATCGTAATGTATATGCACTATAAGCAATTTAAATTTCAATTATATAATGGCATTATGATTTTTTTGTCGCGCCAGGATAGTAATACCTTTATACGGTAGAATGGATTTGATGGAAGAAGATCTTACAATAGATAGATGTATCTTTAGACAATTTCATCTCGAGCTGATTTCAGATGATCCATGCCCCTATTAATTTTGAATAAATCTGACAGAAAGCTGAATTATAAGCAAAATTATGTATCTACCGTAAACAGAGAAAATAAAAAATATAGGTTAAGTCACACAGCTTGAAAAAAATTCGATCAAAGTTACGAAAAAGACGATGTTTCTAAATTGGAGACTGAATAACGAAGTAATTTTATCAACAATCCCGTATCGGTATATCAGATATAATATTGAATGTAAAATTCAATGTAATCAGATACAATATTAAAAATTTTCAATTATATCACAATAATAATGGACGTCGTATGCCTCATTAAAAAACAAAAATTTTAGAATCTATATATATTAAAAAATTTTTTTAATGTGTATGAACATAACTTTTTATATTACACAAATATTTATCAGTCTTGATGTTTAGCAAAATTGTAGTCAACTAAAGGCATACTTAGCAAACAGAAATTGAGAGGTATGTCATAGTGGATATGACGTACTTATCGACTTGATCATATCAACCGGTTTTTAAATATTGACTGTACCATTTAATTTCATATAATGTTGATATTACTTCAATCGTTTTAAAATTAGATTTGAAATGAAATATAATCCCGAGAAAAATTGTTAATATAAGGTATATTTCCTGTCGCTGAATTTTGGAACTGAAATATATATCTCAGAGTTATCGAAAACAAGAAAGATAATTCTAGTACAGTCTAATGCTGCATCAGAAAGTAGACCAATAATTATATATAATTATGTACAATTATATAAAAAATTGACACACTTTATGAGGATGCACCTGATATCCGAAAAGTATCAGGTATCCGGTATTATCTGGCACTTTTTTACTGTCCGACTGGATATTCGGATATCATTATAGTAGCCGGGAATATCCGGTTAAAATTTTATATCATTAAAATGTGGTTATACAATTTTATATCATTAAATTGTTAATTATACAATTATATAAAATTATGTATAAAATATATCATATTATACAAAATATGTTATATATAAAACATTCTAACAATAAAGTATGTTCATATATATAACATTTTTTCCAGGATTAATTGATATATGTATGTTTCTCCAATTTGAACGAATAATATAACGAATAATATGTACGAACGAATAGTATAAAATGTATAACTAATAGGAAATATACGTATTGTATTCTCTTAGCATGTAGTATATAATAAAGAAATAAAATATTAGTACACGTAGGAAAATAAAATTTAATTAATTTTATTGAGCGTTCCTTCATCTCTTGAACAAAGAAACCAGCAATAGAAGTGTATATATGTAAGTTATACATACATGATGCGTTCTAAAGAAAAGTTATGAAATTGAAAAATATGTATGTGTCGATTATATTATATAAATCGGGCAATTTTTGCTTTTGCATCACTGTTGGCAATCAGGGATTAACACAAAAAATAATATGATTTATTACGACATATTTTTTCACTAATTAGAAAAAAAACCATTTACAATAAAGCTGATATTTATAATATTTTTCATATTTGCAAAAATTTTTTTGTCTTCATTCCTACGTCGAAGAATAATAAAAGTTATTTTTCGAATTTATAGAGAGAGGGAGAGACAAATCATCTCTCATTAATTAAACAGATATTGTAAAATTTCATTAATGTAATAAATTAAAATATGAAAATAAGATTAAAATTTAAAGATTTTAAAAATGAAGATTACTTACATATAGAGTGTAAGGAAAAAAGGAATATAAATATTCATTATTTATCGAGTGTCATTGGTTGGGGGTTGCAAAGTTTATAAAGACAAAATACACATATATCTATTCTCTCTTTCTCCCCTTTTTTCCTTCCTTTTCTTCGTTTATTGTAGGAAAAGAAAACACAGCTTCAGAAAAGAACGAATGATACATGTATTTATTATTGACGACAATTCTTTGCAAGAAGCTACTTGAATCCAAAGACGATAATTAAAATTGAGTTCGACATTACCCTTTAATTAGCGCGGTTTGTCCGTAATTGTAAGTGATTCTTGTGCAATTTTCAAATTTTAAACATGTTTCCGTCGCCGAAGAAAAAAAAACAGAAGAAAGAACAGGAAAGAGCAATGCAATCGACGGAGACAGCAGTGCAACCGACGGAAACAGCAATGCAATCGACGGAGACAGCAGTGCAATCGACGGAGACAACAGTGCAACCGACGGAAACAGCAATGCAATCGACGGAGACAGCAATGAAATCGACGGAGACAGCAATGCAATCGACGGAGAAAACAGTGCAACCGACGGAGAAAGCAATGCAATCGACGGAGACAGCAGTGCAATCGACGGAGACAGCAGCGCAACCGATAGAAACAGCAATGCACTCGACGGAGACAGCAATGCAACCGATAGAAACAACAATGCACTCGATGGAGACATCAAATGCGTGGAGATTTTCTTATAATGTGGCCCGCACCTTGAAACGGCGATGCTTTAATTTAACATGGGTATAATTTTAGATTTTGACAATCACTTAATTTCAAAGCAAAATATTCATCAAGTATAGTGATTATAGTATGTGGATTATACATAATTATACTTTTACGCGTGCTGTGTCTAAAATTTTTAGAATGTATCTCACTTTGACGAGTAAAATCTTACTTTCATAGATTGAAAATTGAGCCACTCTTTTTCAAAATTATATCAATTTTTACTCTTTAAAGTGAAATTCCATTCCAAAAATTTAGAAAATATAATACAATTCTTATATTTAAAAAATAATTGTATTAAAGAATATATAACTCTTTCTCCATTCGATATTAATACACTAATGAATTATTTGCATTATCCGAAGTAATAATAGCAATACACCATATATTATATTGTGTACATTCAGTGAAATATGGAAAAGATACGCAAGTTAGTCAGTCTAATATTTTTTTGTAGAACGTAATTGAAAAGGGATATAACAAATCAGCGCTCGGGAAAGAATATAAAATTTCACATCCCACAATCAAAATGGCGGCGTCTTTTCTACAGAAACTCATTTTGGAAACACCTTGCTACCAGGTAATAAATAACATTATGAAGTTTAATTCTTAACACTTTTAATAAAATTAGCACAAATCAATAATGTGAGATATTTATAAATATTTCGTTATGAAAATGCTTTGAAAGTACAATCACAAAATTGTACTATCTATATTTCTCAATCACAAGAAAGTACAATCTGTATTTTCCAAAATCTGTAAGTATCTATTATACGCAAGTGTGTACAAAAATAACATTTATTAATTAGTATAAAAAGTATATTTTCTCATTTTATATATTAAAAAGACTTAAAGTATAATTATAACTATAAATAAAAATAAATTGTATATTGTAGATATTTGCTACAAAGATAACATAACTGAAAAATTATTGTTTTTTACCTGATTGTAAAAAGAAATGGGAACATATAAAGCAGAAAAAATGTACTTTTATCGCTCTACAATCAGTTATTATATTAAAATTGCAAAATTTCAAAATTAATGTTAGCAAATTTTAATAATTCAAAATATTTGAATTCATTTTCTGGAAAGTTTCGTTTTTTAATTGCATTGCGTTGTTGCAAATGAACTATTTACAATTTAAGAACTATTTTAAATAACATCTTATTATATATTATAAATTGTAGAATAAAAAATGTCAATTTGATCCCTACATACCCCCCCCCCC